AACCAGTTCTTACAGTTATTCGAGCTGCAAAACGAATAGATCAACAGTTCTTGCACTGTGTATACCGATGTCTCTTGTGGGTACCTGCAGTCAGAAATGGCTGTGCTTGCTCAATCTGCCCCCACTCGCCAAGTAAACAGTTGCACCAACTATCAGCATGAGCGCCTATCCGTCACACGAGCACCACAGGAGTCGCTGCAGTTCTCCTCGTGCTTGTCTCTCAATGAAGTCGATGTCATGTGAGCTTGGCGCCTGAAAAAGAGAAAATGCAAAGGCCTATATAACTCACCCAAAAGAGCGTTGGTGATACAAAACAGAAGCTCGACAAAATGCAAAAACAGATTACGATTGTTGGAAAACTATAATGTCTACCAGAAAGAGTTGACGGGGTTGGCGATACACAGTGGTGGACGGGAGGGGAAGGGTTAGGTAATCGACGGTGTTAGTGGTGTGGGACTGCAAGAGGCGCATGGAACGGATGGCGAAGGTGCAGCGGGAACGGATGGGCCAACGGTTGGCGGAGTGCATTCAACGTAAGCCGGCTTGAGGCTGTCGAGGGAGACTATGTTGGCCTTGTCGGCATTTTGAATGACGTAATATTTATCCATCGGTTGCAGCACTTTGTAGGGGCCGTCGTAAGGTCAGCAAAGTAGCTTGCAAACTGCGTCGTACCGGACGAAAATGAAAGTGGTAGTATTCAGGTTGTTCTGCACGAACACGCATCTGGGAATCCAACGCGTGGGGATTGGGTGCATCTGAACCATGTGATGCTTCAGTTGTTGCATGAACTTATTCGAGGTCTTGGTGTTGACGGGGTAGGTCTGTATGAATTCACAGGAAAGGCGCAGGAATTTGTCCAAAACAAGCTCGACGGCGATGCATTCAATGCCCCCTTGACACCTGAAAAAATGCTCAAGAGTACGAACGGCAGGTTGTCGCTCCAAGAGGTTGGATCTGGGTGAGACACCTGTTCGGATATAAGTTGACGGTGCAGTCGCTCCTCCGAGGCCGTCGGAAGCAGGGTGGTATGCAGTGGTTGTGATATACGCGCACCCGAGCAGGTTGGTGAACTCACAGTCGATTGAATTTGACATCCGCGGTCAATCATAACAGTAGCTAGAACACCGAAATTGGGTATCCAGTAATTGAGAGAAACCGTGAAAATGTTGTCCGCCGAGGTATCCGGAAAAAGAAATGCATAGGCGAGCACGTAAAGCGCACGACTGCGATCAAAATTTGCGTGTAGTTCCGTGGTGGAGGTAGTGGTCGGACTAGGTCCAAATGGACATTATGAAAACGTACGTCGGAACCACAAAGGTGCTTGGAGGAGAAAATGTGTGACGCTGGACTTTTTTCTTTTGACATGCTAAGCACTGCCGAGTTTAATGTGCAATATCGGCTTTTGTCTTAGGCCAAATGAAACGTGGCACCATAAGTTTGCGACCGGCGCGAACGCCGCGGTGGGAAAACAAGTGGAAATGGTCAAACACAACCTTCCGATAAGATTATGTTACGAAATGCCGGAGAGTGCTTGCGGACAATTTGCACAAGATCGTTCCGATATCTTGGCTAATCAGCCAGGATATCGGAAATAATATGAGAGATATAATCGAGATGACGTACTTCTCGGGCTAATAGCGATCTGGCTTGGCCTTCAGGGCTTAGGTGTGCAGTTTGTGATCCATGTGGACCTGAAAGTCTCT